GCTTTTTCTTTTGCAAGCCAAATAATCTTTCAAGACAAAAAAGAACTGGATAACATAGAGAAAATGGGAGAGTATGGAGATCATTTAGGAACCATGGACCTTCAGAGCATCCTTGGGTCAGTTCGGACATTTTACATTCCAAGATTCAGGAGCAACTTTCAGACATGATCATGGAACTGTTGTAAGGGATTACTGGGACATGACAGAGTTCAAATATTTTGAAGGGCTGACAAGAAGAACAACTACATTTTGTGGTAAAGGGACCAATCAAGACCAGGGTCAATGAATTGAAATTGTAGGAAAACAGATTTTTGCTTTAATTTAAAGGAATTTCAGCAATTAGAATGCTCCGGGGGTGCCTGGGTGGCTCAGTTGATTAACCATCCGACTTTGGCTCAGGTCATGATCAGGTTCGTGGGTTCAAGCCCCGCATCAGGCTCTGTGCTGACTGCCAGCTCAGAGTCTGGAGCCTGTTTCAGATTCTGTAACTCTCTCTCTCTGACCCTTCCCTGCTCACACTGTCTCTCTCTCTCAGAAATAAATAAAAAACATTTAAAAAATTAAAAAAAAAAAGAATGCCCCAAAAGAAGGGAACTGTTCTCTAAATGAGTAAGGTCCCTGCTGAGTAAGTTGTTAGAAGCAGAGGGATGTCATAGAAAGAGTGTTTGCATGGAAAGTTTCTTGCATAGAAAGACATTAGACTGAGGTTGCCCCAGATGACCTATTCAGGCACCATTTATTGGTCTCATCTCTATTTTCATTGACCACATCTGCAATTATTTGTTTACATATCTGCCAAGAGCTGTATTTTTTCATTTTTCCTTGTGTCATAACACAATGCGTGACACATTCTCAGTGTTTGTCAAATTAATTCATTGGAAAAGTATGAGGTTCTTGGAAATTCTGAAGAGGAAATACAGGCAACACATCACAGTGAGCCAACCAGTCAAGCTGGCTAACTTTTCCTTTGCTCTCTTGTGGTTGTGCCATATGGTCATAGTTATTTTAATGGAAGAAAATAGTGACTCATCCTAAATTAATTTGCTTTAGTAGAGTATGATTTGTATGGATATTATGTTGACCTTCTTATTGCTTTTTAAAAATTTTTTAAGTTTATTTAGTTTGAGAGAGATAGAGCCAGCGTGTGAAAGGAAGGGGAAGAAAGAAGGAGAGAGAGAATCCCAAGCAGGCTCAAGTCAGCACAGAGCCCAACTGGGGCTTGCTCTCACGAACCATGAAATCATGACCTGAGCCTGGATCAAGAGTTGGGCGCTTAACCTACTGAGCCACCGAAGCAGCCTTATCTTCCTAATGTTGTTTTTAAAAATCTGTTGAGGGGCGCCTGGGTGGCTTAGTCGGTTAAGCGTCCAACTTTCGCTTAGGTCATGATCTCGCAGTTCGTGGGTTCGAGCCCCGAGTCGGGCTCTGTGCTGACTGCCAGCTCAGAGCCTGGAGCATGTTTCAGAGTCTGTAACTCCCTCTCTCTCTGACCCTCCCCTGCTCATGCTGTCTCTCTCTCTCTCTCCTAGAAATAAATAAAACATTAAAAAAAAAAATCTGTTGAGATAGGGGCACCTGGGTGGCTCAGTTGACTGAGCATCCGATTTCTGCTTGGGTCACAATCTCATAGTTCATGAGTTCGAGCCCCGCATCGGGCTCACCACTGTCAGCACAGAGCCTGCTTTGGATCCTCTGTCTCCCTTTCTCTGTCACTACCCTGATCGTCCTGTCTCTCAAAAAGGAGGGAGAGGGAATAATAATAAACATTAAAAAAAACTTCTGAGTTATAGTAAGGACATGGGATTGAATTAGAGAATCTGTATTCTACTCTCAGCTCCACTACCAACTAGCTCACTAGTGTGCCTTGGATCTGATTTCTCCAGGCATTGGTTTTTTGTTTTGTTGTTGTTGTTGTTGTTTTAATGTTTACAGAGGGAGATAAAGAATCCGAACCAGGCTCCATGCTCCAAGCTGTCAGTGCAGAGCCTGATGCGGCGCTTGAACTCACAAACTGTGAGATCATGACTTGAGCCAAAGTGAGACGTTAGCTGACTGAGCAACCCAGGTGCCCCAGCATTCTTCATCTGAAAACAAGAGCATAACCAGATTATCCTTAAGGTCTATTTTGGCATTAATACTTTCCAACTCTGGGCCCTTTTGCTTTAGACAGAGCAACAGGCTTGGAATTGGAAGGGTTTCCTTCAAGCCTCAACATCACAGCTCATTGGTTGCATGGCTAGGCAAAGATCCTTTTGACTAAGAGACTGGATCAAGCCCTACCAAGACATCAACACACATATGGTTCATGGAATTGTTCAGGTTTCCTGGTCTTCCCCCTGTTCCCTTCAACCATCTCTTCTCCCTCCAGTCTCATTCAGAGGCAGCAGAGTGCCTAAAAGCACAGGCTTTGGAGAAAAGAGCCAAGTGTGAATCTTTATTTTCCAGCAGATCACTTGTATGACACTGGTCATGGTACTTACTTTCCTGAGCCCCAGTTTCCTGATCTGTAAAAACAAGAGATTTCAATACTTCACAGGGGTAAGGATTCTCAGGCCTATAATATTTCATAGGATTGATACAATGAAGATAAATGTGTGTACTAGATTGTTTCCAAAAATAATCACAACATTGTCTTCCATCCCACATAACTCTTTCATAATGAAATAGAGAAATTTCTTTCACCAAGAAATAAAGTCTGTTTTCTTCCCCTTGAATCTGGCCCAGTGGCCTGTTTAAAAAAATTTTTAATGGGGCGTCTGGGTGGCTTAGTCGGTTAAGCGTCTGGCTTTCGCTTAGGTCATGATCTCGCGGTTCGTGGGTTCGAGCCCTGCGTCGGGCTCTGTGCTGACTGCCAGCTCAGAGCCTGGAGCCTGTTTCAGAGTCTGTGACTCCCTCTCTCTCTGACCCTCCCCTGCTCATGCTGTCTCTCTATCTCTTAGAAATAAAAAATAAAAAAATATAAAAAAATTTTTTTAATGACTTTATTTTTGAGAGAGAGAGCATGAGCGTGAGAGGGAGACACAGAATCCAAAGTAGGCTCCAGGCTCTGGGCTGCCATCACAGAGTCCAATGCGGGGCTCTAACTCATGAACTATGAGATCATGGCCTGAGCCAAAGTTGGACACTTAACTGACTGAGCCACCCAGGCGCCCTTGCACATGGTGGCCTGCTTAAACAATCTAATATGATGGAAATGATGCTGTGTGACTTCCAAGGCTGGGCCCTAAACACCTGCAAGTTCCACCTTGACCTCTTAAAATGCTCCTCTTGGGGAAGCCAGCAGTCATGTCATGAGGAAGCCCAAGCAGCCATTCAGAAACACTCACATGGAGGAGTTCGGAATCCCCAGGCCAACATCCCAGCTTAATTTCCAGTCTGTGGGTCAGCCCCAACCACCAGCCATCCCAGTTCCTTAGTGGATGCCACAGGAAGCAGAAGAACCCAGCCAATCAACAGATTTGTGAGATCATATGAGAACTGATAACTGTTGTGTTAAGGCACTAAGTTTTGAAGTAGTTTTTAGTGCAGCAATGAAGAAGTGAAACCAAGTGCTTAACAGTACCTTGCCCATATTAAGTACTCTAAGGAGGTGTATGGAGGGAATGGTAACAGTAGATGTTGTGAAAGGGTTGGACCTTAAGGAAAAAACTAACAGGAGTATGGAGCAAGCTGTATGAAGATGTTAAAGGTGTTTTCCACATTCCCAGGGGCTCCCCCACCTCTTCAAAACAGCACACAAGATGATACAGGAAGTGGCCATATTGAGCAACTCTAATAGAAGTCCTTCCTTATATTGAACTTTTCTATCATTTCCATTCATTGATTTTAGTTCTGAATTCCAAGGTCGCCTAAGACAAATTTCTTTTGGAAATGACAATTCTTCCTGTATTTGAAAACTATGACTACTTTGTCCCTCATTTCCCCCTCCTCTTCTCCTATCTAAAGTAAGGAAGGAAATATTCTTCAGATTCTCTCCAGTCAAATTAGGTATGGTGTTCAGACCTCACATCCTCCAATTTGCTCACTTCTGGATGACCATTGGCTTTTGGTGCCTATAACAGGTGGCACTGGGAACACACCCATCTTAGATGTCTGACCAATGCATGTAGGAAGGATTGAATGAAACAAGACTGTTGGCCAGTTGGTACATGGAGGCCCACATGGAGACCCACATAGAGGCCCACCCTCTACTTTTGTCTTTGAAAATTAAAACTTTTTTAATGATCCTAGAAAAATAGGGAGAAATGCTGTCATGTTTCTATAAAGTTATGGTGCATTTAGTCAGGAATTTTGTGGCACGGATGTTGCTGTCCTTCAGTATGTGTGCCTTTTGAGGAATCAGGCAAAAGCAAAACCAAACACTGAGAATCAAGTCTGAAACCTGCAGCCGAGCAGGAGCATCAGGAGGAAAAGGTAGGCAGAAACTTCTTTAACCAGTCCTTCAGCATCAGGAGCACTTAGAGGGCAACCTCCGAGATTTCTGCCCAGGAAGTTTAGAACCTGTGAAAGCCCCCAAAGGCACGGCTCCTTCAGACTGATGCCACCGTGACCCAGGCCCGAGAGTGATCACTGAATCTCTGGCTTCGTAGGCCAAGCGGGGGGCTCCGTGTCCATAAACTTGGGCCCCCGCGTTCTCATGAGGTGACGGATTCAGGTCACGGGCGAACCGGATTCTGAAATCCACGAAGGGACCGAGGTCGCCACGCCGAACCCTCACCTCTCCCTGGACCCGGACAGCGGAGATTGAGTGCGAGAACCGCGAAGCCTTCACCTGGCTGGCACTTCTTTGGCAAAGAAAAGAAAAGAAAAGAAAAGAAGAAAAGAAATAAACTGCGGTGGGGAGTGGTGGCAGGAGCTCACTGCGCCTGTCCCCAAGACTCCACAGCTCCCGAAGAACCAAGACACCGAGATGCAGAGTCGACTTCCCCCGTTCCTAGACGGACCGCTACGGCCCAGGACAACTCCCGCGGGAGGCGGGGCTCTGACGAACTTCCGGCTGCGCCGGCCGCTGGGTGCGTCGAGGCACCAGCGCTTCGAGCGGATCGAAATCCGGTGAGTCTCTGGATACCCGCTTTGCTTAGCGGCGGGAGAGGGACCCTTGGGCGAAAGGATTCGGAGAGGGAGGCGGTTGAGCAGCTGTGGCCTCTGGAGAACCTCCCAGACCGGTCCTTGGAGTGCTGTGGGGAGGAGCCCCGCGCTCCTACCCAGCCCCATCTGGTGGAGGCGCGTCCTCGCTGGAAAGCCTTTTCCTGCCCGCCCCGGGGGGTTCTCAAACAAAGTGCTTCTTTCGCGTTCCAGAGCACCTTTTCTGTGCTCTCCCTGAGGCGGGCCCTCTGTCTTCTGACCTGGGCTAATAGTTTATCGAGAGAAAGGGGATCTGGTGGGCGAGATCCTTAGAAACCTATGTTATATAAAGGAAGAGTTGAAAGAACTGAAGAAAAGAGTTAAGAGGCAAAGCAGTTGTTTTCAGGGATTGGGGAGCTGTTATGGAGAAAGTTAAGTACTGTACAGTAGAATTCTGTACCTCAAGAATTACCAGATTTGTCTGCCTACGAGTTTTCAGGTACACGGTGAGTGTGTTAAAGGCATCCTAACATTAGTTGGTAAGTACCATTAAATTGTTAGAATCAATGATAATTTGGTTTATTTCTGCCTCATCTTGTTCCGGAATGGATTTGGGGCACTTCTGTAAAAGAGTATATGTTTTGGGAAATTGTTATAAAAGAGAGAAAAAAATAAACACCTGGGAAAAGGAACAATCCCTTCTAGTTATAGTAGACCATGACTTTTGCTTGATGAGCCTCTTGTGCTAAACATTCTAGATAGCCTAAAGAAAGTAGTTCACTGTGGTTGAAGACGATCAGAATTAGCAATGAAGCCTCCTCTTTTCTATCCACATGCTTTTTCGGTTTTATAAATACTGTATTAAGAAAAATTCAGAAGCCAGAGCTCCTGGCTGGCTCAGCCAGTGTAGCATGGGACTCTTGATCTTGGGGTTGTGAGTTCAATCCCCACATTTGGCGTAGAGCTTATGGTCCGTAGGTAGGTAGGTAGGCAGGTGTAGAGTTTACAACAAATATATAGATTAATTAATTAAAAAGAAATTCAGAAGCCACGACTTGGAGGACATCCCTAAATGAAACTTTGGGCAAACTCAGAATGACCAAATGTGAAATGACTGGCTTTGCTCAGGGGGAAAAAATCATGACAGAGCTTTACCAGATTTTTAAAAAAATTTAAAAACTTTGCCAGTCCAATATATGGAAGCATTTCATTGTAGCTTTAATTTCCATTTATTCTGTTGTAACTAAGGTTAAGCATCTTTTCTTGGATTTATTATTGTTTAAAAAATTTTTAATGTTTTTTAATTTATTTCTGAGAGAGAGAGAGAGACAGCGTGAGTAGGGAGAGTCAGAGAGAGAGGGAGACACAGAATCTGAAGCAGGCTCCAGGCTCTGAGCTAGCTGTCAGCACAGAACCCGATGCGGGGCTGGAACCCATGAACTGTGAGATCATGCCCCAAGCCAAAGCAGGATGCTCAACCAACTGAGCCACCTAGGCACCCCTTGGATTTATTATTAAGCTGAGATTTGAAAGACAAATAGAAGTTTGTCCTAAGATGTAGGCATTATCAATGCATAGGGAATGAACAGGGAAGCAACGAGATGGAATGAAGAGGCGAAGGCCAAGTTGTGTCTTTTTCTGCCTTACAGAGAAGTTAATAAAATGGTTGTAAACAGCAAGGTGATATGTGCAGATTTGTATTCTAAACCTCTGCTGGTACTTGACTTTTAATGTGTGAAACTTGATTTTTAGAGGAGGGAGTTTCAGGGGTCAAGGGCAGTCTGCCCCAAGATGGGGCACTTTAACTTTAGCATGAATATTATTTTGAGTTAAAAGCAATTGAAACCCAGCAGTTTCAGGAAAGGCTCTTTACCTTCCCCCTGAAGTGCTTGCCTATACCAGAGATTCTTCTTTACCTAAGAAACCTACAGAATAGGGCACTGTTTTCCAAACATCTCCTCTCAGCTTCCTGTGAATGGTCTTCCTCATCTTTGTATCCTCAGGCCACTTTCCTTAGCTCAGGTTGTTATATAAGCCTCCATATTGCCTAACTGCCTTTGGAATTTCATGTCTGCATGGATTCCCCGTACATACAAAACTAAATTTGGTTTTCTCCTGTTGAAAAAAGAAAAACCTTAAGGTAAGCTCTACGCCCATCATTGGGCTCAAACTCACAATGCCGAGATCAAGGGTCACATCCTCTTCCTACTGAACCAGCCAAGTGCCCCCTCTGCTGGTAGTATTTGAGCCTGTGGAGTTGGAGTTGCCAAACTGGAAAATGGCCTGTGCGATTTCAGAGGAGGAAAAGATTGTAGCATCAACTAGTCAAAAACATTTGACGTGTGGAATAAGTTTCAGAATTCTTTATGCTTGCACCAATGGGTTAACAAGGTTTAGGGCGGAAAGCTACCACAGGGGGAAATCGCCCACGGCAAGTCATTAAAACCAAGCCATTAAGACCTAGGGAAGAAGCAGAAGCTAAGAGATGTACAGGGTGAAAGCACCTAAGGTAAGGTAGTCAGAAGAGCGCCTTGTTAACCCTGAGACTGCAAGCTCCAGCCAATCTTAAACTTTAGTGTTAACAGCTAGGTGGCTGTATCACCTACAGAAAAACACTTTTCATCTGGCGCCAGTATATCATTGTGCTTTGATCTCAACTTCAAATGCCACTTACCCCCTAAACCCTTTGCTTCTTACACAAGTTAATGGTCACTATCAGATCATTTCCTTCTGCACGTTCATCACGTATATAAAATCTTGAGAACTCAGTAAATATAGAGATGAAACAAAGCCCCTGTTCGGGGCTCCTGTCTCCTCCCAGACATCAGCCTCTCTTGTATTCATTTCTGTGTCTGGTCTTTTGCTGGACATCTCAGAGAGAACTCCAAACTCAAAGTCTGCGACAGTTTGAAAAAAGTCAAAGTAAGTTTTGTGATATGTTTGAAGTAGATCTGCTAGAAACTTTATTTCATTAGGCCAATATTCTAATAATTGTTGAATGAGAGTCAGAAATTAATTATTGCTCCTAGAGACAAAGCAGGTACCTTTCTAAAAAAAAAAATCATAAAAAGGCTTTACAACTTTTTAAGAATATCTAACATTTTTGAGTAATCTCTATGACCAGCATGAGACTTGAATCCACAATCCCAAGATCCAAGAGTCACACGCTTCACTGACTGAGCCAGCCAGGTGTCCCTTAAATGTTTTTTAGAATATTTTTAGATATATAGGAAAACTCAAAGATAGTACAGAATTCTCATATACCTCTTCTCCAGTTATTGTTAACCCCTTATATCACTGGGTACATTTGTCACAACCAAGGAACCAACATTGTTATATTACTATTAACTAAGCTTTACACTTTATTTGAATGTCACTAGTTTTTCCCTAGCGTACTTATTCTGTTCCAGATCCATCTGGGGTACCACATTAGATTAGTCTTCAAGTCTACTTAATGTCCTCTGGTCAGTGACAGTTTCTCAGGCTTTCCTTGTTTCTGATGACCTTGACAGTTTTGAGAAGTACAGGCCAGGTATTTTGTAGAATGTCCCTTAATCCAGGTTTGGAGGAGGAAGACCACAGAGGTGATGAGACCTTGTTGTTTTCAGGTGCACTTACCACTGGTGATATTAACCTTGGTGACCTGGCTGAGCTAGTTTTTACCTGGTTTCTGCATGGTAGTACTTCCTTTAGCCCCTTTCCACACTCTTCTTGCAGAAGCAAGTCCCTAAGTGCAGCCCACACTTGGGGTGAAAAGTTAAGTCTGTCTTCTTGACAGGGGAGTATCTGCATAATAAATTGGCATAATTCTGGATGGGAGATTTGCCTCTTCTCTGTTTATTCACTTTTTTTTAAGCATTGTATGGATTCACAGATATTTATTTCACATCTTTTTATTTAAAATTTTTATTTTATTTATTTTTTAAAATGTATTTATTTCTGAGAGAGATAGCATGAGCAGGGGGAAAGTCAGAGAGAGAGGGAGACACAGAAACTGAAGCAGGCTCCAGGCTCTGAGCTGTCAGCACAGAGCCCGAGGCGGGGCTTGAACTCATGAATGGTGAGATCATGACCAGAGCCAAAGTCAGAGGCTTAACCGACTGAGCCACCCAAGCACCCCCGTACTGATATTTTTTTAAAGCCTGATTTTACAGCGAGTACCCCCAAAGATCCATGTATCACATTAATTCTTTCTACAGATATTTGAGTACCTGCAAAATACCAGGCATATTATAGATATTTGGAATATAGCAGTGAAGAAAACATATGAAAGTCTCTGCCCTCAGGAGTTGATATTCAAGAAGGAAACAGACGATTTTAAAAAAAGGTAAAAGATACAGTATTTGTATGGAGGTAAGTAATGTGGACGAAAAGAATAGATTAGGAGCATAAAGAGTTCTGGGGTGAAGGAGGGTTGTGTGCAGTTTACAACATGGGGTTAGGGATGCCTTGGTGAGAAGAACATAGTACAGAACTGAAGGAGCCAGCTGTATATAATCTGGAGGAGGGATTAGGCACAGGGAATGCCATGCTCTGAGGTGGGAAGCTTGCCTCACACGTTCAGGGAACAGTGTGGTTGCGGTGAATGAACAAGAAAGAAGTGAGAGATGAAGTCAGATGGACAACAGAGCTGAGACCTTGTGAGGCCTTCCTGGCCATTGTGATGACCTTGCCCTTTACTCTAGGAGACACTGCCTCGAAAGGCATGAGCAGAGGAATGGTATGACCTGATTTGTATGTTAATAGTGTTGTTCTGGCTGCTTATTGGCACTAGATCCAGGGGCAGAGGTGGAAGCACTTAAGAGGCTCTTGCAATACTCGGGGCAAGTAGGGGAAGGGCTGGGATGGCAGTATTGGAGGTAGTGAGAATTGGTTGAACATCGGATCTTTCGGATGTAGGCTCATAGGTTTGCTTATGAATTATATGTAGAATGAGAAGGAGGAGTCTGGGGTTTTTTGTTCCAAGAAAACAGAATGATGGAGTTGCCATTAACTGAGATGAATAGCTGTGAGGAGAATGGTGGGGACTGAGGTTTTGGACAAGTTGAACTAGAGGTGCCATTGGACATATGGAGATGTCATGTAGGTAGTTGGTCACATGAGTCGAGTTCAGAAAAGAGGTTTGGGCTGGAGATATATTGGTGGTTGGGAGTACGTGGATGGTAATTAAGGCCATGTGACTGCATGAAATCTCTAGGAAGAATGAATGCAGCAGGGATGAAAGGGTCCAAGCGCTTATCCCTCCACTCATTTGTGGTCTTGCAAAGACACAGATTTGAGTTGTGGGCAGCATCTAAGAAAACTTTTTCTTCTTAAGGTTTTCTTTTTTTTCTTTTTTAACATAATCTCCACATACAATGTGGGGCTCAAATTTACAACCGTGAGATCAGGAGTCGCACACTCTACCGGCTGAGCCAGCCAGGTACCCCAACCTTTTCTTTAAATGTTGACTATGTACATGCTTTTCAGAGGTAGTTATGTGATCTGTGAGACTGGATATGCCATTCTGGGATTAGACCCACATGAATGTGATATAGGTCACTCCCTGTTTAATGCCACCTGTGCTAAGTGATATCTTCCGTCTTGCTGAGTTTGCCAGGCTTGGTTCCAGAAGCTGAGCAGCCCAAACAGATTCCAGTGTCTTTCCTATTCTAGGAATACCCTTCTGTGGGTGGAGTGTGAAATTTTGTAACTAGTTATGAGAAGATATTTCATCACTGAGGAGATCTACTTTTTTTTTTTTTTAATTATTATTTTTTTTTTATTTCTAGGAGAGAGAGAGAGAGACAGCGTGAGCAGGGGAGGGTCAGAGAGAGAGGGAGTCACAGACTCTGAAAGAGGCTCCAGGTTCTGAGCTGGCAGTCAGCANGGAGTCACAGACTCCTAAACAGGCTCCAGGCTCTGAGCTGGCAGTCAGCAGAGCCCGACGCGGGGCTCGAACCCACGAACCGCGAGATCATGACCTAAGCGAAAGTCGGACGCTTAACCAACTAAGCCACCCAGGCGCCCCTGGGGAGATCTACTTTTAAGTATTTTGGGGTGCGTGGGTGGCTCAGTCGGTTAAGTGTCAGAATTCGGCTCAGGTCATGATCTCACAGTCCTTGGGTTCGAGCCCTACATTAGCTCTGTGCTGACAGCTCAGAGCCTGGAGCCTGCTTCAGATTCTGTGTCTCTCTCTCTCTGTCCCTCCCCCGCTCACTGTCTGTCTGTCTCTCAAAATTAAAAATAAAAACATAAAAAAAAATTTTTCAAATGAATGCTTACTCCTGGCACTACTCCATCTGTTATTTTGAGGTTATTTTAGCCTTTCATGCTAGTGCCTTTATTTGGGAAACTAGATGGCGTGCTTCTCTCCTGGCTGTTTTTGAGTTCTCCTGAACTTGGGAGCTCCAGAAGTGTGCAGGGCAGCGTGAGGGACTGCATGGTGCTGATTTGTGTCCACCCTGTCAGGACACCTGTTGACATCTAGGATGCTTCAGAATTGGGGTGCAGTGAAGAGGAGTCCCAAGTACTGGCATCCCTAGAATTCCGAACTAATTAGCAGCTGATAATTATTGAATTTTTCATAAAAGTTTACGTATTGAGATTCTAGTACTAGGATCCCGTTTTATATTTTTAAAATTAGTAGAATTAAATAAGAAATAAATTATCAGAATTGGTCACAAAAATCAGTGGAGAGCAGTCACAGAAATGTATGTTTTTAATGTGTGTTTATTAAATGTGTGAAAGTATGTGGAAACCAATTTGACAATAAACTATTTGTAAAAAAAAAAACACCCAAAAAATAAATAAATGTGTGAAAGTAAATACTTAAGTAACATACTAGGGGCACCTGGTATAGAAGTAATAATACCCCTTATAGAAAATTTAAAAAATGAAAAAAAGAATTTAAAAAATTGAATTCATTTATAAAGCAGTAATATTACTGTTTGTGTTTTATCCTTTTTCCTTTGTTATGATTATGGGGATATATGTGAGACTTGATACTTGGAGTGATATCAGGCCAGAGATGGGCATGCATGTTAGCCATCAGCATACTCAAGTTTTTATTTTCATTTTCATTTTTTAATACTGCAGTTTTTAAATGCCTTAGATTTAGATTATCTTTGACTCCTTTGTTTCCTCATCTTCTGTAAGCTATTTGTACATACTTTTGATGGTCTTTACCCTTGTTACCATTATCGTGTCATGTAACAAAAACCTGCATAGATTTTTATCTGTTTGGCTCTTCGCTGAGACCGCTGGTTTCCTGCTCTCGGTTGTCCAAACCCAGAATGGGACATCTATGTGACACGACAGATGCTGCTTAAAGTTTGGAAACATGCTCAGGAAAGCCAGTCACAAGCATGTAAAGGTTAATTCATGCAGGTTTCTTTCAGAGTATACTTCATGAATGCCAGTAATTATATAGTCTGATTCTGTTGTCTCTTTACTCCTCTACTTTCCATCTCCCCCACAGACTTGAAAGCTCTGTGGGGGTGCGAGGGCATCTGTCTGACTCGTCACGCAGTCCCAGCTCTAAGCCCATGGCAGGTATTCAACATGGCAGTCAATGTTGAGTGAATGGACTTCAGTTTTTGGGCAAGTGAGGGAAAAAGAAGTAATTATATTTATTTACCACAGACGTTTTTGGTGTTCTAATGTATCAACGGACAGATATTTAGAATATTTCATAGTTAAAAGAAAAATACTTTAAGCGTTTTTTGGGTATCATATGCTATGATTTAATTTTTTCCCTTTTCTTCTCAACAATACATATGTCATCAAAATAAATACCTGTATAAGAAGATAGGTTACATTTAGTCTAATTTGGCATTCACTTTTTTTTTTTTTTTTTAAGTAGGCTCTATGCCCAACATGGGGCCCAAACTCATGACCCGGAGATCAAGAGTCACATTCTCCACTGGCTGAGTCAGCCAGGCACCCCTGACTAACAGATTTTTAATGTTGAAGCTCAGAGTCTTAGATTTAAACAGGCTGCATTTGCCCTTTAGGTATCCTGTTGAAATCTCAGGAGTTGTAAGATTCTGAAACAGTTTTTGGAGCAAAGTTAATTTAAATTTAATTTTAGGGGTGCCTGGTTGGCTCAGTTGGTTGAGCATCCCACTGTTGATCTCAGCTGAGCTAACACATTATCCCAGTGTTGTAGGATCAAGCCCCACATTGGGATCCACGCTGAGCATGGAGCCTCCTTGAGATTCTCTTTCTCCTTCTGCCCTCTCCCCCACTCGTGCACACTCTCTCAAATAAAAAAAAAAACTTTTAAATTTCAAAATGATAAGTTTAATTTGAAAATATGTTGTAGTATGTTTTATTAGAGTGGAGACTATAAAACTGAAGTAGGATATTCCAAGCTGACTTCTGAATGATTTTGGACAGTAATTTTTATGATAGTTTTATGGTGGCCATAATTTCCACAGTTTGTTGTGCTGACAGCATCCTTTTTTTCTTCTTGTAATTTATGGTAACCATATTTTCTCAGGTTTAACGTGTAGCCCTAAAGAACCAGAAACCCAAAGGAACCAATATTCCTGCTCCACATAGTCCCATCTGTAGTGAGGCTGTTTCTGGAATCTTCGTGATGACCAAGGTTTTGGGCATGGCTACAGTTCGGGGCCCTCGGCCTCCACGGGAGAGAGGCCCTGCGGTAGTTAAAGATGAGGAAGAGGAAGGGAAGTGCCTTCCTAGCCTGGAAGTGTTCCGCCAGCGCTTCCGGCAGTTTGGGTACCATGACACACCTGGCCCCCGGGAGGCCCTGAGCCAGCTCCGGGTGCTCTGCTGTGAGTGGCTGAGGCCTGAGATCCACACCAAGGAGCAGATCCTGGAGCTGCTGGTGCTGGAGCAGTTCCTGACCATCCTGCCCCAGGAGCTCCAGGCCTGGGTGCAGGAGCATTGCCCGGAGAGCGCTGAAGAGGCTGTCACTCTCCTAGAAGATCTGGAGCAAGAACTGGATGAGCCAGGGCAGCAGGTAGGCTGGGGAGACCTTTTCCACTATGAGATTAAGAGCATAGCATTCGGGGTAGGCTGGGTTTTTCCATCCAGTGCGAGTAGCTGAATGGAAGTTTCTGCTGACTTAGATCATGTTTCCTCCTATATTTCTTCTACCATCCAGTGTTGATCTTTAGCCATGGGAATTGAATGAGATGGATGAGTTTCTTTCTTTCTTTTCCTAAAGGTTGTACATTATCTCTCCTAGTGTTTTCTTTCATCTACAGTTGACCCTTGAACAACACAGAGGTTAGGGGTGTCAGCCCCTCCTCCCCAGCACATGTGCATTTGAAAATCCCAATATAACTTTGGATTCCCCCAACACTTCTAAATAGCCTACTGTTGACCAGAAGCCTTACCAATAACATAAATAGTCAATTAACACTTACTTTGTTTAGGGGTGCCTGGGTAGCTCAGTCGGTTAAGCATCCAACTTTGGCTCAGGTCATGATCTCATGGTTTGTGGGTTCGAGCCCTGTGTCAGGCTCTGTGTTGACAGCCAGCTCAGAGCCTAGAGCCTGCTTCAGATTCTGTATATCCCTCTCTTTCTGACCCTCTCCTGCCCACGCTGTCTCTGTCTCTGTCTCTGTCTCTCTCTCTCTCTCTCTCAGAAATAAATAAAACATTTAAAAATATTAGAAAATGCTGAGGGAAGAATGTTATGTTAACACCTACAAATATGATTGTAAAGTGGATTTTTGCTCAAAACCACTTTGTTATATATGTTATATACTATATTCTTGCAATAAAGTAAGCTAGAGAAAGAAAAACCTTAGGAAAATCATAAGAGAAAACACATTTACTGTATTTTATGTCTCAAAAAAGAGATGTGTGTTTAAGTGGACCCGGTTAGTTCAGACCCATTATAGTTCTGACGTGAGCTGTGCGCAAACCCCGTCATTCTTTGTTGTGTCTAGGTCTCGCCACCTCCGAATGAACAGAAACAGATGTGGGAGAAGAGGTCCTCTTCAGGAACAGCAAAGTTCCCAAGCAGCCCGCAGCCCCAGTCTGTGGAGACCAGTCACAGATGCGAAGCATGGGAGCCCTTATACATCCAGGAGACTGGGGAAGAGCAGGATTTCACTCCAGAGCTGAGAAAGAGTCAAGGTCAGGATGGTCTGTCATGCCACCTGCTTGGTGCCCCAGTTCTTTGTAGTGGAAGAAACAATAATTCGTGGTTGTGAGGCAGTGCTCTAGACTGACTTCCTGGTCTGACTGTGGGGGCAGGATGAGTGCCTGAATGCCTTTCCTCCCTAGGTGCATCTCAGCCAGATTCCTAGCGTGGGAACATGACATACTCTTCTCTTGAAAGGATTGGTTGAAGTGAGTTTAAAAAAGGGACTGTTCGGGGTGCCTGGGTGGCTCAGTCTGTCCCACTCTTGATTTCAGCTCAGGTCATAATCTCTTGATTCGTGGGATCAGGCCCCACGTTGGACTCTGCATTGGCAGCAAGGAGCCTGCTTGGGATTCTCCCTCTCTGCCTCTCCCCTAATAGCACCTTCTCTTTCTCTCTGTCTCTCTCAAAATAAACATTTTAAAAATTAAAAAAAGGGACTCTTCACAGAGGTGTGACAGGTTGAATAAAACAGTAAGAGATGATTTTCAGCTTCTGCCTATTTAAAATTTTTTACCTAGACACACCTGGCTTACTCGGTTAAGCAGCCAACTCTTGATTTCAGCTCAGGTCATGGTCTCAACACTTCATTGAGATCGAGCCCTGCATTAGGCTCTGTGCTAACGGCATGAAGCCTGCTTGGGATTGTCTCCCCCTCTTTCTGCCTGTCTCTCAAAATAAGTAAATAAACTTAAAAACATATTTTTAGCTTACTTACTAAATTACTTATTTCCCACACATAGTACATGGCAACTTAAGGAAAAGTCTGTACAGGTAGCCAAGTGATTATTCATCACAGAGAGTGAAAGGGACTTTTTATCAATTGCTACTGTGGTCCCCAGCAGACAGGAAGTAGGGGGTGAGCATGGAAGCAGTCAGGTAGAAGGAAATAGATGGTTGAGTGAAGAGAGAAAGAGCCAGGGGCCAGGGAAGGGGCAGAGAGGAAAGTACCTTGTTGATTGAGGCTTCTGTACTCACAGAAGGCTGACAGTTCTCGGAGGGAGGCTATGGTTCAGTGTGGACTTCTTTTTAATTCCCTTTTCCATGTATATGGATGGGTTAGGTGGATTTGTGTCATTGCCTAGTGCAGTGCTCTGAAGAAGATATATTGCTTCCATCTGATTTTGGCAGTATTAACTTTAGAACTAAAAGATTTATAAGACATAGCTACTGTAGGTTATGTGATGAGAATCAAACTCTCATGGGAGGTTAGCACTTTCATTTAAATGAATAATGATCTGGGACTAGAATGATCATACAGGGACCGAATGTCCTCTTTTGTTGCTTTTATATTCCACTTCTTTGAGAATGTGAGTTTGCCACTAGCCTAGTCTCCCTTATTATCCTTTTTATTTTCCTTAATCAACTTTAACCATTCAGCAATATTTCTTAACATGTTTCTTTCTGGGGCGCCTGGGTGGCTTAGTCGGTTAAGCGTCCGACTTTCGCTTAGGTCATGATCTCGCGGTTCGTGGGTTCGGGCCCCGCGTCGGGCTCTGTGCTGACTGCCAGCTCAGAGCCTGGAGCCTGTTTCAGTCTGTGACTCCCTCTCTCTCTGACCCTCCCCTGCTCACGCTGTCTCTCTCTCTCTCTCCTAGAAATAAATAAAACATTTAAAAAAAAAAAACAAAAAAAAACCCCATGTTTCTTTCTGCCTGGGCATCACCATCTCCTTTGCTGCTATCCCAGTATGCCTGGTTTTGCCTTACTGCCCTCTTTATGTGAAGATCTTCTCCTGGCAGAGAAAGCTGTGTATTCGTCATATCCTAATAGCTGCTGGTTGGGGGGCTTGTGTGAAAGCCTGGTACTGTAAACTGGATCTGATGGTGACTTGTGTATCAATGTGATATTGTGACCTCTCACAGAGCGATACTTGGTTACCCTTTAGAGCCCATTCACATTGTCTGACGTTTCAATTTCTCCTTTAACGGTTGCTTCTCAGAACACAGCACAACTAACATACTCTTGTTCTACTTACTGTTTTCAGATCATAAATCGAACACCCAGAATGAGGAATCAACAGACAAGCAGAAAAGTTCTGAAGAGTCTCAAGAATTCAAAAGGGATATTATTCCCGTGATTATTGCCAGTAAATGTGAGTCCAGGTTAGAAAGGCAGTGGGTAAACCTTGAAAAGGAAAGAGGAACAAAAACTCCCCTCCTAGACAAAGGTTCTAAGAAAGGCAGAGAATTGATTCCCACTAAACCTGCCCCAGGAGAGAGGCGTTACATTTGTGCCGAATGTGGAAAGGCCTTTAGTAATAGCTCAAATCTTACTAAACATCGGAGAACACACACTGGGGAGAAACCATATGTGTGCACCAAATGTGGGAAAGCTTTCAGTCACAGTTCAAACCTCACCCTTCATTACAGAACACACTTGGTGGACCGGCCCTATGACTGTAAGTGTGGGAAAGCCTTTGGTCAGAGCTCAGACCTCCTTAAACATCAGCGAATGCACACTGAAGAGGCACCATATCAGTGTAAAGATTGTGGGAAAGCTTTTAGTGGTAAAGGCAGCCTCATTCGACACTACCGGATACAAACTGGGGAGAAACCTTATCAGTGTAATGAGTGCGGGAAGAGCTTTAGTCAGCACGCGGGTCTTAGTTCACATCAGAGGCTCCACACTGGAGAGAAGCCATATAAATGTAAGGAGTGTGGGAAAGCTTTCAACCACAGCTCAAATTTTAATAAACATCATAGAATCCATACGGGGGAGAAACCCTATTGGTGTAATCATTGTGGAAAAACCTTCTGTAGTAAGTCCAATCTTTCCAAACATCAGAGGGTCCACACTGGAGAGGGAGAAGTGCTTTAACTTGTGAGTCTGCTCTCTGGGTAGTTTTTGTTTTTTTCAAGCTTTAGCACGTGGATGCTAGGGAGAAGCCCAGTAATTGCGATATAAACTCTAGTGGTAGATTTTGTTTCACTCAGTGTCAAGGGTGTCTGAGGAATACGTGCCCAAGTGGTGGTGCAGTGGGAAGGAGGTCCTGGAGGGCGTCAGAGTACTCACTCCCCATTGGCCAGCTCACTGGGACGGGGTCCCCTCACCACACTTTGGGTCCCCTGAACCAGGCCGACATTGCCTTTTGTATAGTTAAACTGAGTATATCCAGTATAATTAAGGAAGAAACACTGAAACTGTTTAACTGTTTTAACATATATTCAAGAAGTATGATTTGTAAAGAATTGTGCCACCCTGAACACAATTCAATCTGATTCAGAATAAACGTATTAACATCTTGTAATGCCTCAGGACTTTTCAAGTAAATGGTATGTTGATTATTGGACACTATTCTACAGAGAGGAAATGTAGAATTCCTGCCTGGTTGTGGCTTTTGGAAAATTTGGATTTGAGGTCATGAGAACTTTTAGTGCTTATGAAGGTGTGTGTATTGGGAAATTGGGGTAGAGCATCTAGAGTACCTGCATCTTGGGCTATGTTGCACTTAATTTTTTTCTGCACACCAGATAACATTTTTTCCATCATTGGAAACATTCATCAGCCTTGTGTGGATTTTGGTTGTGTATATATATTCTGCCTTGCCAAAGTCTGAAAATCTGACTCAAAACTTCCTTCTAAACTCCACAAGTCAATAATATACAACAGGATTCCTTTAAGTCCATCCTGTCTGTCCCCTGACTGTCATCAGGTGAGATCTTTGCACCTTCTCCACAGACGAAGAAGGTACTCGTTACAGAAAAGGGGAAGGGAGATGCGTCTGTGAGGCTGGAAGATTCTGGAGAATTTGGTGTTTGAGGTACTCAGACACACCTACCCAGATGTCCCATGCATCAGGATCTGAATCTTTCCCAATCAGGGCCCAGAATTGTGGCATAAATGACTTGGCAAGGCTTTACATTTAGCTATCTTTGCAGTAAACCTCGTGCCTGGATTTCAGGCCAGTCTGCTCTTGCTGCAGAAGATGGGGATCGCTCATCCCTCCCATGAGTGACTTTGGCTTCCACAACATGCCCGGAAGTGATAGTTTGCCAAACTAAGCCTTTAGTTTTCTTTCTTCAAAGCTTCACAGAGAAACTCTGCAGTCCTAATAATTGCCGCTTTCCCAGTAATGTTCAAGTTCTAGGACTATTCCAGAAGCTAATGTTTCCCCTTCTACCTGTACCTCATCTCTTACTGTAACTGGTAAGAATCTTGGTAATTGCCATGTATAGTATGCCAGGGGTTATCACCACTGCACTCATCCCCAGGCTCCTCTTACTAACCCTGTAAGTGACCTGTTCCAGAATCCCATCCTGAGGGCTCAGTTTCTAGGGCCACTTCCAGTACTGACTCTTAACAGTTTGGATTTCCCTAAAACAGTCTGATAACAAGGGCTTGAGGGCCTAGAGTTTATTTAGTGAGGTGACTCAAGGAAGCCAGGTGTGAGGGAGCAAGAAGAGAAGGGAGAGAAAAGCCAATAATGGGTGCACTGTTGTGCTAGTGGCTTCTGTAAGGAAGTAGTGCTCAAATCTGCTGGGTACCTTCACAGAACAACATAACAAATGGGAGAAACTGGTATATGTGGGCACTGCTTCAGTCTCAGTGCCCACCTGTGGTTAAGTGGAGTGCCAGCTTGGCTCCAGGAGAGTGATTGAGGAGTCCTGGTAGGCCAGAAAAAACACTGCCCCCAGGGGACTTTGAGGCTCTCAGGGTCTGAAGATGCTTGTGAGCATGCCCTCCCCCTCACCCCGCCATCACACAGATAAACTTACAGGACTTAACGTTTGGATTCTCAATAAACAATATTTGGGGCATACTTCTACTAAAAAGTTTATTCACTGTGTATCTGAATTCACATTTCCCTGAGCATCCTACATATTATCTGGCAACCCTACCCCTGGCATTTGTGGGCAGCAGTCCTTCCGCCCCTTTGTCTCCCCAAACACTGTGATCTGATGAGTTGAGGGGACTTAGTTACACCAATAGAATGTATATTTGCTGATGAGGTGAGAGCGTTGTGCATCCTAGGAAACACATGACTTATCCATTCTTCTAGAATAACCTCTAAGGGCTAGCCTGGAAATCAAGACAGCATCTCTTACCTTGCAGTCCACCTCCAGAATTCTCTTGGTAGAGATTGTCCACTACTAGGAGAGAGAAGCGTCTGATCTATTTTGAGATGGGAAATAACACAGTGGTGTCCACATTTCTATGTAAATGGCTTAATTTCACCCCATGTAGTCTATCTACAGTGACTTAAAATACAGTTCAAGTATATAATACAAAGGGACACCTGTGTGGCTCAGGTGGTTAAACTTTGGCTCAGGTCATGATCTCACTGTCTGAGTTCAAGTCCCATGTCAGGCTCTGCTGACAGCTTAGTGCCTGAGCTTTAGATTCTGTGTCTTCCTCTCTCTGCCCTTCCCCTGTTCACACTGTCTCTCTCAATATTTAAAAAATTAGTAAAGTATATGATACAAAAACATTCTAGATGAATAAGCCATTTTTGACTATTAGTGCATTTCTGATATCAGCCAATATATCTTAAGGTTTTGATCATTTTTTTTCAAATTTTTAATGTTTATTTTCTTTTTGAGAGAGAGAGAGAGGCAGAGAGAGAGAGGGAGACACAGAATCCCAATCAGACTCCAGGCTCTGAGCTGTCAGCACAGAGCCTGATATGGGACTCGAAACCACAGACCGTGAGATCATGACCTGAGCTGAAGTCAATCACTTAAACAACTGAGCCACCCAGATGTCCCTTTTTTTCAATTTTTTAAGTTGTAAAATACACAATAAAATTTACCATGTTATAATACCTTAAATATAAAACTTATTAAAGGTATATATAAACTTTATACGCAGCTAATAGAAAATGTTTCTCATTTTAATTTTTAAATGTGTGATGGTGAATATGTGCTTATCTTTATTGGCCAATTGCATTTCTTTTTGTCAAATGCCTCTTTTATTCTTTTTGTTTCTATTGAGTTGTTCATCTTTGTCGCCTTGATTTATGAAAGCTCTTTATATATTAAAAACCTTAGGATCTTTTCTGTCATATGTGTTAGAATATTTCTCAAAATGTTTTTGAAAGAGAGCAAGTCCAAGCAGGGAAGGGGCAGAGAGAAAGGGAGAGAGAGAATCACAGTCGTGCTCCACACCTAGCACAGAGCCTAACACAGGACTTGATCCCGTGACCATGAGTCAGAAGCTCAATCGACTGAACTACCCCTGTGCCCCTCAAATTTTTTATATGTACTTTTTAAAGTATTTTCCCGATACTTTATTTTTAATGGCATTTATTTAAATAATATCTTTCCCTCATGAAAACTATTAAAAATTTCAGTGAAGAAATAAAAGGCACCTCATTCCTGTCAGATGGCTAAAATAAGAAACACAAGAAAGAACAAATGTTGGCAAAGATTTGGAGAAAAGGAGTCAATCATGCAGTTGTGGGGATGCCAACTGGTGCAGCCACTGTGGAAAACCATATAGAGTATGGAGGTCTCTCAAAAAAATACAAATAGAACTACCTTACAATCTCATAATTCCACTACTGGGTGTTTACCCAAAGAATACAGAAACACTAATTTGAAAAGATATGCACTCCTATGTTTATGCATTATTTACAGTAGCCAAATTACGGAGGCAACCCAAGTGTCCATTGATAAATGAACAGATAAAGAAGATATGGTATGTATTATATATAATGGATACACACACACACACACACACACACACACACACACACACACACGGAATTCCATGCATAGTGGAATATTAGCCATAAAATGAAATCTTGCCATTTGCAATGATATGGATGGACCTACAGCATATAATACTAAGTGAAATAAACCAGCCAGAGAAAGACAAATAGCATATGATTTCACTCATGTGATGTAAGAAACAAAGAAAAAAGACAAAAAACCCCAGACTCTTTGGAGAACAAACTTACCAGAGGGGAGGTGGGTGTGGGATGGGTGAAATAGGTGAAATAGGTGAAAGGAACTAAGTAATTTATCTTGATGAGAACTGAGTGAATGTATAGAATTGTTGAATCACACGGTGCACCTGAAACTAATATAACAATGTTAACTATACTGAAATTATTTTTTTTTATATTTATTTTTGAGAAAGAATGCAGGTGAGTGAGGGAGAGGCAAAGAGAGAATCCCAAGCAGTCTCCACCCCTGGGATTAATCTTTTAAAAAAGGAGGGCAGCAATAAAGACAGTGATGGAAAAACGACTAAAAGATTTTAAACTTTATTCAGTAATTGTATAATTTGCGCAGATACTGTATTGTTATTTTGAGAACTATTTACTTGTCAGAAAAAATAAGCCATTAGATTTATTTAGTTTGACATGAAAGGGTTGCCTGGTTGGCTCAGTTGGTAGAGCATGCAACTCCTGGTGGTGAGTTCAAGTCCCATGTTGGGAGTAGAGTTTACTTTTTAAAATTTTCTTAAGGAAATGAAAATGGCTGGGGGTGCCTGGATGACTCAATCAGTTAAGGGTCCAACTCTTGATTTTGTCTCAGGTCATGATCTCATAGTGGGATTGAACCTACCAGGCTCTGCGCCTGCTTGAGCCTGTCTTTGCCCTCTCTGCCCCTCCCCTGCTCAAATGGGTGTGTGCACATGTGCCTGCACTCTCTCAAAATAAACATTTTTTTAAAATGAAGACGGTATTTCAACAGAAGGTAAAGGAGTATAGTTGTGGAATTAAGAATTTAAGTAAAACTGGATTGGCAGTATGAATGAATATTAACTTTTTTTTACAATAAGAAAAATTAATACCTATCTCTTAAAATTTCTGTTCATGAGCAACTACCCAGAAATCATGGGAACCCCAAGATGCATATTTT